TTTGTACACATGTTGCTGTCATTAACGAAATGAATATATTTTCTTTTTAAGTTCTGCTTTCAATATTTTCCAGAAACAAAGCTTGAATGATTATAGATCCCTTTACTTTTAGTGTTGACGATAAAATACCAGTATTTCTTAAAACGGTGTTAGGGAGAGAGGCAACCAATCCGGTTTGTTATCTAATAGTTAGTTTTTTTTCCTTGTTTGCGTGCCTTATTTTGACCTTTATCCAACGATTCAACCTTAATCAGCAAAGTACCACATAACAAAATTTGAAAATATATATTCTTATTCACGTTAATGTAAGATAAGTAGAAGCATCATTCCACATTCTTTCTAAATTCTAACAGGATATATTAACGAAATTATTTGGTCTTGCTTTGAAGATATATCTTCAAACTAAACAAATAGACATGATAACGTGGTTTCATGAATGTGTTAATGGTTAATAAATATGTCTCTTTGCTCTTCAGTAATTATTTATAAAAGCCAAAACGTTCGGAATGACAGAAGATTTACATTTTTCATGCTAAACAACATGAACTTATTCTAGTTTTACATATAATATAGGAAATTCATGTATAAAAGTAAAGTGTAAAAGACGTTACATTCCACAAACACTACTGGAAACGCGCCATTGTCACACGATCAGACAAAAAAAACTCTGATAAAAGTGGTATCGCATCATGAAAGACGATGTTACAGTAACACGTTCAATTGTAAAATATCGTTAAAACCTTGGCATTACAAGGTAAGAGAAGTATTGGTTGAAAAAAAGAGAAATATTATGGGAAATGGATTAAGCAGTATTTTTGTTTCATTGAATTACCGGCAAATTCTTGTAAACCATCGTTAAAATGCAATAAAACATATAGGCTTGTCAAATAAGACTTTCAACCTGTGTACTTGTCAAAATATATTCCCGTATTGTACAGTAAAATGTATAATAACCTATTATTCTTTATTTCAAAGGACAATATATGTTGTTGTTTGTTCCAAGGACAATATATGGTGTTTATTTAGAAGGACAATATATATTGTTCTTTATTCCAAAGGAAAATTTATGTCGTTCTTTTTCCAAAGGATAATATATATTGTTGTTTATTCTGTTGTTTATTTAGGAATACAATATAGGTTGCTCTCAATTCAGAAGGACAATATATGTTGTTGTTTATTGAGAAGGACAATATAGGTTGTTGTTGTTTTTTTCTTATTTAAGAGGACAATATATGCTATTGTTTATCTAGGAGGACAATAAATGTTATTGTTTATTTAGAAGGACAATAAATGTTGTTGTCTGTTAAGGAAGACAATATTATGTTGTTGATATTTATTATTATATAATTATGAAATTCAGATACTGTTTGAGATAAAGAGTTCCCCTTGATTTTTATGCATCTCTCCGGATTTCAAAAAAAGAAAATTAGATTAACAAAGATAAGATAAAAAATATGTTTTCAGAAATCAATCAAACTTTATGATCAACTAGGAATCAATAAAAAATTAGTTCCGATCATGTATTTCAACACTCATATGTGTGAATGTCAGTTTAAGGAAATCCAGCATACAGTAAACCGGACACTATATGGTCATTATCTGTTCCAATTGGAATAGGCTGTTTACGCATCAGAATGATTTTAAATATTTCATATGAAACTACTACAAATTTTGGGCAATGCTGCTGTTGTACATGATGTGTTATTTGCTTGACAAAACCCCTTTTTTAAATGAACGTTACGTTAAAATGTTGCTTGCAGAGTGTGCATGTTACTTTCTGTATTATATCCAAACTTTATGATTATAAGTCTTAGCATTCATTCTATTTTTTAATAATTCTTATAGAATAGACTCCGTTTTACTGTTTTAGAATATTTAGACAAATCAGTCACAGAATACAATAAAGAGTCCTAAACACACATGATATATAACACCGGAAGCAAATACATCCAATTATCATGAACGTTAACATTATTAATTGACTCATGTGATAGTTTAACCAGCAATCGTGCAACGACAACTTGATATCATGGTTGCAGATATAAATGGCTTTTTATCATTTGTTTAAAATGTAACCACTCTCCATAATTTTATTATAGAACATGCGCAAAATATGTACAATCAGCAATGTGCTGTTAGTAGATTAGCATTGTGCTGTCAAGCCGGTGCTAGGGGGCGTGAGGGATGTTGCACTTAATCATTATCCCTCATGTACAGACTCAATCAAACCGAGTCTGCAATTCTTATGTTATTTTGTTGTGATTAATGCTTCCGAGGGATCACTTTGTTTCCAGAATTTTGTACTTCACAACAGCAGGTGTCTAGTGCCGTGTGGCAGCCGTTATTAACCCCGTACTTCACTTCAGTGTTGTTATATTTTCTGGTCATTCGGGATCATTGATGCCAGCACTATAAAGTGTTGAGAATTGAGTACCGCTCAAGCCGGTGCTAGGGGGGCGTGAGGGATGTTGCACTTAATCATTATCCCTCATGTACAGACTCAATCAAACCTATCAATTCTTATGTTATTTTGTTGTGATTAATGCTTCCGAGGGATCACTTTGTTTCCAGAATTGTATAGTGGCGCCGACAGAATCATCTTTTGTCTTAAATTATATTCTAGTGACATTAACACTGCTTTTTTGTAGTTTTTTTTATTGTATCTTTATTTGTAAAATTTGAACCTTATACCTGCGTCACGTTTCGGAACAATGTGGTAAGTAATTCAAATTATTGAAAGCTTCTTAAAGCCGCTTTCCCTAATATTATGGTTTGGGCGTTTTTTGAAATAAAATGTCATCAAAAGATAAAATTTTACCACAGACTCGTATATTTATATGGAACAATATGATTAATACATTTCTTGTCCGAAGAAAAAACCTTTATGTACAGTTTTTGCTTTGTTAATGATGCTGTACACATAATTTGAAACAGTTGCAACGTTTTATTTTGTAAATATTGACTTAAATCATACACGCACACGCACAGGCACACACACACACACACACACACCAGTTAACTGGTTGCAAGAAGATCAGTGTGTGCGTGTGCGTGTGTTGCCTTAAATGATAAAATGTCATTAGTATTGAAAATGCATTATTATCGTATTACACTTGTTCTACCAGCGATTGTAAAAAAGGGTTCTTTATTGCACTGTTTTAAGAGCATAGCTACATGACTCGGTTTCGGAGTAAAAAACATGTTGCTAAAATCCAAAAAGCAATAAACAGTTCTTATCTAATTCAGTTCTTTTCAAAACTTCTTAGTTTGCGGAAAATTACTTGTTATCTGTAATCTTAGAACAACTTCATGTTGCCATAGATATGTAAATACAGAAATGTATAGTTTATCTACTTTAATCATTCACTCATTTTGTTTATAGGAAATTTGATGTAGAAAATTATGCCTATATTTTCAAAAGTCAAATCAACAAATTTACGTAATGAGTCAGCAATGCAATAATTTGTGTTTGTTAAGAAAGAAATGCGTTGTGGATATCAAAGTCGCTTTGAGACAGATCCATCAAAACGAAAAAGAAAGCAGCTTATTTCGGTGGAATATGAAGTATTTATTTAAGATTATAACTAAAAAAAAAACACCTCACTAAATAATTAAGACATTGCGATGAAAATATCTTATTTGCAATGAATTTGATATTAATTTTTACGAAAGTTAAATCCATTACTGATATAAACATTAAGGCCATACAATTCGGTTTATAAATCAATAAAATCTGAGACTTTGTTTTAGCTGGTATATTTTCTGAGCATGTTCATGTTTGCCCGTATATATTGTAATTTCTAATCATCTTGCCTATTTCAATAGTTAAAGCCTATATTTGTAGCTACCGGAAGTGTTAACTTCCCTTTCTTCTCCTTCTTTGATGATTTCGTCGATAATCTACAGGTGAATGGTGAAAGTGTTAAATAGATTCCATGTTAGCTCAATTCAACATCACTTATCGACGAATATTGTAGGTATCAGCCAGCGCTTTAACCGCTTCAAGTCATTGAATTGCAGCAAGACTTAATTGCGAAAACATGTCTGCTTACAAAGCGATACAAATCCAACGGACTAAGGTCTGTCTAGCACAAATTATAAGTCATTTGTAAGGCCAGTCATTGATTGCAATCTAAGGACAAAAGTGAGGATACACATTATTAGGTAGTTTAGGTATATAAATAATGGTTAAGTAGAATGCTAATTCGATCGTTTGAGTTCTCGAAGTTGAAGACAAATATATTCTAGATTACGAGATATGTTCCTTTTAATTAGAACTTGTCTCATTCAGAAAATCTATCGCTAGATGTCACGTAAATAACGTGGAGTGATAAAAGGTACACTTGTTTTACATTTATTGAAATACAAATCTGGCGCACGTGATATATTGAACGAAATGTTTCATTTTCAAGGACATTTATCAATGACATTGCAAATATGGGACGCTGATGTAAAGATTTCAAACTATATTTTGCAGTCATTAATCAAATTAGATTAAATCCAATAAAAAATCGTAACAGTTCCAGCAAGCTGATAAATACATAATTATATTAAATCAGTTATATAAGATAAATTTGAAATTAAGATTAGTGTGCGCATTTTTATAACTTTTAAGCGAATGATACAGTAATTTGTGTCTAAATATATACATTTTTGTATACAGTTTAGCCACTAGATATAATAAACTAAAACTTGTGTTGTATGTTTTTTAAGGCAAGATATAGATTAATTTGGGGGACAATGTATATAAATATATAATTTGCATGATTGAAATTTAATGGAGAAAACACAAATGGATAACAGAAAGCATCGCTGTATACAAAACCACTTACGACGATAGGACACTTGAGTCAGTGGTTGCAATGCTAAGTTAATATTGATTTACAAATATCAAATGTGCTTAACCTCTCAGATTGCTGCTGCCCGAAAATTCAATTTAGGTTCTATTCTTGAAACTACTGTGTTTATTCTAGGCAATTCTTTGAGTATAAAAGATCAAAACTCGTAATAGCGGTCGTAACAATCTCACTTATAGATAGACCAGAAATTGATACTAGTTTAATGACTACATAAACATAAATGACATTTGCCACAATAGACCGACGAGTGTGTTTTGAAAGTTTGAATTGGCTATTTACGGAATGGGTAAATTGTTTTATCCCGGGACCCGTTCTATAGGACTCAAAAGAATTTCGATTCTATCGCGTGGGATTATTTGTTTGCAAAAATCAGCTCAACCGGATGTGACGCCAGCGAGCGTTCCAATAGTTCACAACGGGTGTCAATAAATTCCTTTATACTGGATCGTTTGAAAATGAGCTGCTCATAGAATAAGGTGTGAGAGCTCGAGAGAGCGAAAATATCTCTATAATTTATGTAAGCATCAACCGGATCGATACACCGGCTATATAAAACGCAAATCGCCGACTATTTTTGTCACCATTATTAAGACATTTTCAAGCAATCGTGATAATTATATCTTAAATTATCCGTAATAAATTAAGATAAGAAATATAAATAAAATAAAAATTGTTCTGAAGGAATTCTCATAATAAAGGCTTTGATTTAGTCTTATGTTTGTCGAAAAGAACATTTTTGAAGTAGAAGAAAGTTAGATAAAATCATTTTGCAATGGAAGTACAAACAATATTAGCTCCAAATACGGACACTGAAACTGTAAAGAGAAGAATTGCCTTCCAAAAAAGTTTTAGTCAAGAGGTAAGTGATGTTGTTAGGATTATAAAAATAAAATTGGTAAAAATTTATTTATGAGGATATTATTTTCTCCTTAAAACATTTTGATTTTCTTTTTTACACATTTTTCATTTATTTAGCGTAGTTAATTTAAAAGTATAAAGAAAGTCTTAAAACTTTAATGACTGTTCAAAAATAAGTTTAATTTTGTTATAGAAATTTGTTAACATAGCTTTGAAGTTTGCAATATTTGAAATGTTATAATTATTATATTGTCGTTTTCATATGATAATATATAAATAAATGATTATGTCATTTACTATGATAACAGATATAAGTTTAAGTTTAACCTAAAAGCTTATCTTAATCAGATATATAATGATATCGAATGTAAACATCTTACTAACAATTTATTTATTCCATTTCTTCAATTTACAAATTTTATTCATTCATTTGTGAGTTGATTTCATCCGCTTTGATACGCGAATAAATAGACATATTACAACGTAAATATTGTATTTACTTCCGAGAGTTGTTTTAACAATGAAACATATTGCATTATGATTTACAATTATTTCTTTGCAGTTATTTTACTTTAAAAAAATTCATTTTGTCACTTAATCACCCGAGTACATTTTTGTGTGTTTTTTGCCTCCACGTTAGGTCTCTTCTCCTTTAGTATGAACAACTATACTTAATGTGTTTACCTGGCTAAATAACGACAGGCCAATGGTCTTACCTGGTTAACGTTTTTGTTGTTTTTTTTGTCTATAAACAATGCAAAAAGAGAAGAAAAAAATGCTTAATATTACTTTAAACATGGCTACAAATATTTACTTATTCTAATGAAATAATTTCAATTCCTTTGCTAAAGGTAATGATTAAATTCAAGCTTCCGAAAATTTTACAGACATTCCATATACACACAGTCTGACACTATTCAGTATTTTATACACCTATAAATTGTTTCAGTGTAAATTTAAAGTAAATACAGATCTGCATTTTGACATGTAATTTTTACTGTTATTTTACATATTCATTTGTTAAATGTTTTTCTTAACTGTGTGTTACCATATTTTTATTTGTCATTAAATATATCATATTTAAACAATATCCTGCACATTTCAACTTATCAAACAAAATCACATCATTTAATGCTCTATTTTAAATGGAACAGGAAATATTGTAGCCCATTTTCCCTATCAGTTGAAACATACTGATTACATTTTAATGACAATCGAAGGATGAATGGATAACTGATTGATCAATAAATATCGTTAAAAACAAATGATTTTAAAGGAATTCTAGCTGTGGTCATGACTAATATACAATGATTATTAGTTTTGCTCACTAAATCATTTTTCTATAGGAACAAGTTAATGGATTGTCTGCTATGTAAATTGAAGAGAAGTCATAATGTAGAAGCGACTCGTTGTTATCAGCCATCACGGCGTGACACTTGATAAAACATGAAATGAACTAACCGCGTATTTTAATGGTATTGATGATGTAAAAACAACGATCAGCGAAACAATAATACCTTAATGCTTATCAATACTGATAATGCTTTAACTTCCCTTAAGAAAAAAATATTCAGTTCTGATATCTAGGCAGTTTTATTGGGTTTATTTTTTTTGTTATTTTTTGTTTTTAAAATATATGTGTCTTGAATGAAGCACTTTATATAATAGAATGCTAATCAATTGATAAAAAACGCCTCCGTTGCCATATATCACAGATAAATCCGATCCGAGGAGTAAGTTGGATTTGTTGAGAAGTTTGGTAAAGACATTACAAATATCGTCAAAATATTTAAAATCCAAATTGAATATTAGTATATCATGATCAAAAACATACCAACGTACAAGAAATGACAATAAAATAAAGATTGCATAATACCTTTTTGCAAGCTATAAGTAGAATAATTTTTACGGTAAAAGTTAAAGCAATATATCGTTATAAAATAATTAAAAACAAAGAATGATTGAACATTAACATCGTATTCAATAGGTCGCTATTTTAATGCTTCTAAATAATTAGTTACGCTGACATTATCAAAATATTCTTGCAAAAGTATATTAAATGCACATTTATAAGATAAAACCTTTTTTATTTTGTTTAATTTACATAATATTATATATATCTTGCTTATAAAAGTTTTTTAAAATGATAGAAAGGACGTGATTTAGCAAAAGTCATGACGTCACCGTCACGTGCATATACAATACGCATACTGTTACGTCAATTTGGTTATTTTTGTATTTAAATCCCTTCCATATTAACTGTTTGTATAAAGGTTTGTAATTATTCTGACTAAGATTTAAAACTTTCATCTTTCATTTCTCAATTCTTATTAAATTTTTGTTATACGATATAATTTTACCCAGAGCAGATATATCTAAAATGTTGAAGGAGAAAACAATCAATGATTTTGAATAAACATGACTAAAATACATTGTATGTGATGATACCTTTAGAATATTATTTATGTTGTAAAAAAATCATGAAAATTCAAGGACATTTATAAATTGCTAACAATGTTTCACAATTATTTTAGCTTTACCATGTTACCATGTTATCAATAACTTGTGCGGCAGTAATTTTAGTGATTATGCTATATTTCATCCAAACTTTTTATATTTTATTGGCCTTCCTTGTATAATATTTCGAAAATTAATTTCAAAACAAACAATTACAAAAGTTTTCAATTCATACATCTGAACAACCTTTCACAATAAATAAAATTAGAACTAAACATGCTCTTTGAACTCCTCGTTTAAATCTTTAAAAACTAGTTCCCCGCTGAAATTAGAGAAACCGAGCATTGTTTGTATTCATCCGCAATATGAAAATATCTGACAATGGGACCTATTTCCAAATAAATCTACGCAATCAAAGCTTTATTGACAAGTAACGTTTGAAAAGTACTTGTATCGCTATCAAGTTAATTGGTTCAGAATAGCAATATTGTATTACAAAAGAGTGGCTGGTGGAGGATGTTTAATTAAGCATTCATCACTAAACAATATGTACGTCTGAAGTCATGTTTAGATAATTGATTTTTTAATAACACAAATCGCCTCAAAGAGAGTTCCAGTCAATCAGAAGTTAATTGTCACTGGTGAAATGTTAAGATTTTACGTTTAGTTGTTTCTGTCTAACACCTTGCTATCATATTTCTTAAATCAACATTTTTCTTTGTGGCTAATATTTGATGAAATGTATATGTATGATTTCTCCTCAGATTTCCCATCATTTATGCTCACTTACGTTTCCATTGAGCCTCAAAAATATATTGTAAAAGCTTTCTATTTTGAGTGCTCTGCTATACTAAATGGTTATAAGGCTGTATCTTCCTTGATTCTCTAAGGGAATGGAAGTCAAAATACCACTTAGCTTACATTTTGATACTTTTTTAACAAATTAGTACATATTCAGGGCTTCTTTCTTCTTCACGTGATCAACATGTAATATGCTCTAAATCAATTATAATATTAACATCATCAAACACATGGTTGCCCATTTTCAAGAAGAAATATTTTTGCTGAAAATTGTACAACCATTTTGTTACAGTCGCATTAACTCGTTCGATGTAAAACATCAGTAACAAAGGTTTGTTCGTTTGAAGAATTTCATAAATTTCTAAACAATACGTTCATATATAAGAACTTATTTTATTTAGTTCCGCGCATTGATTTCTCGTTTAGGGCACACGCATATTTTTTACTTGGGGATCATATGCCGCTTTTCATGGAATGACATTAACGTGTCACATTGAAGGTTTCATGATAACCGCCATATGAACACATCTGCGGAGGTTACAAAATTCTAAATTTTACCAGTTCATGTTAAATGTTGAATTGTGCTTAAGCCGGTGCTAGGGGACATGGACGGTAGTTTGCACTTGACAGTACCGTCCATGAACAGGCTCAATCAAACCGAGCCTGCAACATTTTCAATTTTTTCCGCGTTGGGCTTTCTTTAGGGATTCTTATATCACTCTATTTTAAGTAGAAATTTAATTTCAATATTCCAAATCGAAATGTATCAAAATGTGTGATGTTTTGAAAATTAATTTTAAAACTCTTTTTACTAGCTTAAATTATGTACTTATTTTAATCCAGCTTAATGATTAAGTATTTTATTATGTTGGTAGCGGCGCGTTACTAGTCGGATGTATTGTTTTAAAGATTCAGACCAGTGCTTGGTACATTTAGACTAGATCTAGATGCTGGAGTCACTCATAACGTCATATATCCTTATTTAATTACATGAAAAAGACAGATGTCCTGACAGGCATCTAACAAATCAAAATAAGATCGATCTTGATTTTTGTCGTGGCTCACTATCAATTTTGTGATATCAAAATAAAACTTGGCTTTGACCGGCAATGAGTATAGAGTATGGCCAGAATGCATGGATGTACTGGCTGGCCTGGCACTGTATGTGGTACAAAGGCTACACAATTTTGGTTTCAGCAAGTTAAATGTTTAAACACAATAAACTATAAAAGCCGTATCATCTGCTATGTAACAAACATAAAGTAACATTATTATTTATATTGAATAATAATATGTTTCTTAGTGATTTTAAACTTGGTTGATATATAACTAACTAAAGAAAAATTATTATATTAATTTTATGTTATCATTATCACATGTGTGTGATAAGAAAAAGAGTAAACCTTTAGTGATATAGAACTTATTCTATAAAAACACATTTGGCTACCCGTCACATCTGCATATGTTTTAAAAAGTTCTAAAATTCTATGCGATGTTATGAATTAGTAAGAGTTTGAAGATGACAGCTGCTTGTTCTTTGTTTGTCAGATGGCTTTATATACATACAAATAAAGATGACATTTTTATCATCGCTAAGATATTCAATAAAACACAGATTGTATTATTTCTGAAGAGCAAATATAGACACATTCAGCATACCATCGCATCAATCTAACAGGGTATAAGACGACATACAATGTTATACAAGGACTGTTATGAAAGCACTCGAGTGGGCTGGTAATTGAATGTCGCCCAACGTTATCCGATAACCAGATTCCAATCTCGCATACATGTTTATTTAACAGGCTAAGTTAGCTTATAAAATGACTTCCATTAACAAAAGCAACAATGCGCTGTCATTGATGTTACTTGAATAAATATTTCTAATTGCTAATCATCGACGGGCACTGACTTAACATAAATAGCCATTTATCTAATTCCTGAAAAACGGTATAATACAACTGCAATTTGGTACATAGATCATGGAATCACTCAGAGCTTGGACAAGCTAAAGTATCAAACTTCACATGCATGAACGAGTATTATTGATTCTTTTAATTATCAGACAGTTTTGAGCAATTGTATAAGATTTATCGCAAACACTGTTAAATTAATTCTATCTTATGTACATTAAATAATGAAATTCATTTATTATACCATGGACATATTGCAATTATTTAAAAGCACTTGACAAATATCTATGGATTTTTGTTTCCTTTTTACTGTTTGCAGGAAAAGAGTAAATTTGTATTCTATTTTTGGTCGCATTTTCAAATACTGTGACCCAAATTAATCAATTTTATAAATCCATGTGGCCATATTTCGATTAATACTTGAACCGATTCTTGATTTTATTTGTGTATATATAAGTTATGATTATAACATTTTAATAGCTGAAAAGGATGATTATGATTCCTGTCATATATATAAATTTCAAATCATTATTATTAGTAATTCTTCGTATTTCAATGGTAACTTATCATTTTATAAACGAGTGTTGTCCCAAAAGTTCCCAAAAAATTTCATTATGAAAAATATAAGACGCTAATCGCATTTCTTTGAAAACATATGTATTTACTATATAAAAATCTAACCATACTCCGAATTTTACGGAAAATACGTCATTACTTTATTTTTTATTTATATTTATAAAGTTGCCAGCTTGTGCAGTTTGAGGATTATCTTTAACAAAATGTGTTGTTTAGTGAAGGTACAAGCGACTCCTAGCATAATGTTCAGGGAGTCGTAGAACGGTGTATCTGATGTAATTTCTTTAGAAAATTTGACATCATACACATATACCATGTTCTAACAACACACACGATTTACTTAACCACTTGCAGATCAAAGAAAATCAAAAATATCGCAATTTGACGTTACAAAACAACCAAATTTCACAACATCATACGTATCTCTTAAATGAATAAAATATTAACCTTTAACGTTGACGTCAAAACGACGTCCTGACTTGCAAAGCCATTAAACCAAATGCATAAATTTTAGCAAGTAGAGTGGAAATATATTAAATTTACATATGCATAGATTTGAAAACGCCATGACGATTTGTTTTTACTTTATTGAATTATTTTGCGAACTTTTGGGACAAACTTCGTAAATGAATAAAATCATGTTTCAATCAAAATCATTAATTACAATATTACAAACATTGATACAAGAGGTATCTTTGAGTTATGTGTTTTAAATATAAATATTGTTTAATGTGAAAGCATTGTTTGCTTCAGAATCGATGACAATTGATCGATATCCTGATGTTCAATTGTTACCGATGACTTTTTAAATATTCTGAAAGCATAAATGCATTGACTTAATGTAGTTACGTATAAAACCCCATTCAACGAAGTTAATGAAAATAACCTGTTGGTGTTCAAGCTTAAAAGCTCTGATGTCTTTTACCTGGCGGCAATTTGTGATTTTTTTTCAATTTTGTATACAACATTATGTTATCGGTTCTTAATAAGAGAAAGGAAATTTTGAGTTGTTTAAATAGTTTTCGCCGCTCATCTCAAAATACATTAAAATCAAAAGTTGAAACCTTTTATTAGTAATAAGAGTGGTGTATGAAAACTTTTAAATTAAAAAAATGGCTATTTCAATATTTATAATAAAAAAAATTCTGAATTATTTTTTATTCAACAAAACATGAAAAACACTAAAAAATGTTCATAATTTAAACTATTGAAATAAATTATGCCTTGTTTAGAAAAAAATAGTTTGTTTTTTTTGTAAATGTTTCCCCGTAATCATTAATATAGTCATTTTACTTTGTGGAAATATATAATTATACATCTCATTACTCATTTTCTTTCAAGCATGGAGGTTCATGGCGTCGCAAAAGTCTTATTGAAGACGCAAAATTCGAAACTGCTGCAAACATTGAATTTGAAAAACAGGAAAGAAAAAGCCGTGGGGGTTCAATAAGTGAAGAAGAAGAGGTATTTTTGTCTCAGCAGAATGGCGAAGTTAAATCTCCCATCGACAAAGATGTTTCGAAACGCCAGTTTACAATAATGTTGTCACTTAAAGACGGCATGATGTCGTTATCTAGAATTATTAGAGTGTTTGAGGTAAGAGTTGGCCTTTGTTTTCATGATCGTTTACAGATTAAGAGATAATTATGGTGTTCGCCTTTTGGAATCTGTTTTATGATATTTTTACAAATAGATATCCCCCTTAAAATAGAATACATTTTAAAATTAAAGCTGGAAGAATTAATGATAAGAGCTAAATTTGCCACGTCCACACTAAAGTTAAATGAGATTTCAGCATTTATTTCTTTTCTATTTTTGTCGCTTTAAATTTAAGCGTGAAAACACACACAATTTAAAATCTGAAATGTAACACAGATAAACAATATTTTTACATTAAATAATGTAAGAGAAAAAATCCGGATAAAACAGTGTTTAATGTTACAAGTTTTATGGCGCATAATCATATACATGGGACAATAAATCAACAGAAAATCTATATTTCATTTACATTTTTGTATCTGATTTTGTATACATGTGTTATTGATTTATACAATCACAATTGTTAAACCAAACAATTTTAAGTGCTTTATTGACCGGTAGAAAAACACGTCGAGATGCCATTAACAAAAGTATTAACTTGTTGATTTTTATAATTAAAGTTGTCAGTTAATAATGTATAAAAAATTTATTCATAGATGAACGCTATGTTTTATTTATATTATTATAATAAAAAGCTTCTGTAGTTACATGATCAACATGATAACCATCTTTCCTTTCAACGCAAAAACATTTCAGTATAAAATCTGTAAAATTTCCATCTTTAAACTATTTAAACATAAAGCCTTCCATTTAAGCAATATATCTATGTAATACACCTAAAGGACCTTTCTTGTCTAAACACAAAGAACAAATTGAGCATAGATTATTATTATAATCAATTTAACTATATGTTACTATCGTAATATACAGCAAAGTTTTTCCTAATACTTATTTCAGACGTCAAAAGTTGTAATTGACCATATAGAATCAAGAAAAGCAAAGAAGCTCGGATCACAACACGATATTTTACTACAATGTTTTGGAGTCAAGGACACGGTGACAGCCGTGATGAACAGCATTCGCCAAAATAACTCAGTGTCAGATATTTGGTGTGAAAACGAGAAATTGATTTCTACACAAGGTAAATAACTCTAAAGACAAAAGGCATAATTAAACATATGAAACAAAATATTTTAATGCATTTTTCACTGTCAAATGTTCAATAGCCGTAATCGTGTATTGTCATTTTACATTTGAATGCGTTCGTATGGTTGTATGGTTGTGCTTTACATTTAAATGATATTCTCTTTCAAATGTTTATTGTTAAATATCGGTCACGCATCAATCTGACGAATAGACGTATCCATTCTATACAACATGTTCAATTTCTGAGGTTTGATGAATTCATAACAAATCTACGACATTTTATGTCAGCTTTATGCATGACATTTTGTTTATAATTAGTATATTTACACATATTTATTTGTTTTATATCTGTAAACAGTCAATATAACCAGAAATATTAATGCAACCAGTATGATATATAATGCAACAAGTAATAGAAAGAGCATCGAAACACGAGGCTATCTCATTTGTACGAGATGGCGGAGCCCCCGGGTATAAATCAGATTGCCGGTTGTTTTGATTGTATCATAGGCAAAACTAAAAGCACCTTCCCTATTGTCAAAATGTGAAACCTCAGACAAAAGAAACCAATGAACGAGCATCTGAATATGACATTTCTATCGTTGTCCCTGTCTCAGTCGTCACATAAGCAAACCCTAGAAAAATTAGACAATAAATGAGCATGCTCTGGAGTGCGGGTAGCTAATGCCTTCATTTTTAAGTCAGGGCACTGCGCATGTATGTGTATACGATTTAACTCTGACATTAACTATGATACAAGTGTCAATATCTAATGCTTTGTCCTGTAGAGTCAAAATACGTTAATGCAAGCAGTATCGAAAATACAATGGGATTTGCTAAAACATATTGATCTCAAAACTAGACTTTTGTGAATAATGACGACAAATAATTTGTAAAAGTTATAAAAGCAATATAGCTTTTTTGCAATGTTTGATTGTAAAACTGCCACCCATTTCCTACATATAGCAATACATTATGTATTTATTTTAGAAGTATGGTTTCCAAAACACATATCAGACCTAGACAAATGTACACACATAGTGACAAAGTTTGAACCAGAGCTTGATTGCGATCACCCGGTATGTATATATTCAATTTTTTTAGATAAAAGTAAAACATTTAGGTCAAATATTGATATAATTTTGATGTATGTAAGTCATTTAATAATATTCATGCACAAATGTATGTATCATTGCACATAAGGTATTCAATTGCGGTTTAGACCCGTCTATTGTTTACTCGCTTAGAGCACATGCATTCTTTTACTTTGGGACCAAACGCCGCTTTTCGCGTAATGGTACAAAGCTGCGGACTTTTCTAAATTTAAGATTTCGATGTTTTTTATGTTTTAATGTTGCATTCTGCTGAAGCCGGTGCTAAAGAGCGTGAACGGTAGCTTGCACTTTCAAGTTCAATCTTTTAACAAACAGAGCCTGCAACATTTTTAATTTTGCCGTTTTGGGTGTCCCTTGTGGATTCTTTTTCTTTTCTATTTATGTGACGATAAGCTTGTGTTTGTTTTAGTTTTCTTTAATCCCAATATTCTCATATGTTTGTTTGTGTTTTGTTCTCTTTAATCTCACATCCTGTTTTTTTTCTCAATTTGTGTAATATATTGTAGCATCGTTATGTCAGTGTACTAATTGCTGACAATTAAACATCTTTATTTCCTCAGGAATAACGAAGTTGGTACTATATTTCAAAAGGCATACGTTTAGAAGTAATTCACGTTGCCTGTTCTGACAGTAATATACAATTAAGCTCTGATTAAGTTTACATGAGTAAATGTATAAATGCACGTGATACTGCCTTAATCAGTGCAATTATATATGCAATTTTAATCATAAAACATCACATTGATTGGCGATATTTCAATGTCGACCAGTAAAACTAAATCAGGAAATTTTCCTCCTGAACACTTTTTGTTAACAAGTGCGAGCTGAATAAAATAAAATGATCAGTGGTTGTTCTTTATGAAGGCATGTCGTTAACGCGGGGACAGGAAGATGATCGCGTGCAGTAAGAGGTGACAATAATAATAGTCTTGTCTAGATATGCTAATGAGGAATTTGTTGTCTTTGATATCTAAGAGGCAAAACATAATCTGACAAATGAAGGAGATCTTGTTTATAAAAATGTGACGGAAATATAATTTGATAAAAGCTATCGATTTCAATATTCATATACATTACTGTGGACTCTCATGTGTAAAATTGTATAGAATGACTTTTATATTTAGGGAAAAATCAATTTGTTCTTAGAAATTATAAAGTATTTGTTCTACCGATTTGGTAATGCTTAAATTCAAGATTGATGATTTAAGTATTAAAATTAACACATAAAGGAAATCTGGAACAGTTTCGTTTTTGGTATACAAAAATTTAAGTAAAATACTTATCTTAAAATTGTTAAAAGTTTACTGATCAACCTTAAAGTTCCTATCATTTATTTCTAAAACAAATTACGGTGTCAAAACATTTTATTGTTTCAGCTAAATTCTAAATTGGTTTCATCTCTTAACATCATTTGGGATAATTCAAGTGTCTGTGGTTAGTTTTCATTTAAAAACCAACATTACTATTGACAAATTAGTATGAAAATTAGTGGCAAAAGTATTTTCCAATTTCAGGGATTTACTGACAAAGAGTACCGACGTAGGCGAAAAGATATTGCAGATATTGCCTTTGATTATAGATAGTAAGTTACCATAGAGACTCATATATCAGTGTAAAATATTACTTTTCTGTGCTGCAGGATGAAAGCATTTAAGATGTTCATTCAGGGGTGTTATCACTGTGCTAAAATAAATTTAAACTGCTGTGCAAGAAAAGCTTTGGGCTTTTAATAAATGAATCAGTATATTTTCTTATAATAGACGATGATTTATTTCTTGTCATTTCAAATTATAATTGGTCGACCTACTATAAAGCTGTTTAAATGTTATATTATTCTGCTGTCCAGTATGTAAATTAAATGTTTTATATACTTCACAGTGGCCAGACAATACCTAGAGTAGAGTACGCTGCATCTGAGATAACAGCTTGGTAAATACTTAAAATAGCCTTGTTATTGACGAACAATGAATATACTCCTGAATGCTTTTATTATGATTAAGTCTCATATTCCAATTTATTCAAATATTTTAATTTTATTGCCCATATAGCCTGGTGTGAATTATGTTGGTATTTTTACTGAAATATATTTCCTTTTAACGCAAAGCATATTCATCAACATTATTATTATAATACAAAATAAACTTTTACTCATCTGCAGAAATCATTGGATTTATCATATGATGTAAATTTGTATGTTACAATAAAGTTACAGTTTAAACCAATTCTTGTACACGAACATCAAAAAGCGATAGTTTTAGTTTAATTACCGAATATATGGGTTCCTTCAATTGTTATTAACAGGGGTCACGTGTACCGAGAGCTAAAGCAATTGACTCCGAAACACGCATGTCAAGAATATCTAGATGTATTTAAACTGCTGGAAGATGAATGTGGCTACTCGGATAAAGCTATTCCACAACTAGAAGATGTATCCAACTTTCTTAAAAGTTAGTTGATGTTTTTTTATCATAGAAATACAAAACAATATGTAATATTTTTTCTGGGCAAATTCAAACGCGTATTCGAATTACTGTGATATTAACGAAATATTAAGATGATTATCATTAAACAAACAAATTAAACAGAACATTTGATTATATAAATGATCCATCAGTGTTAAATTCAACGTAAAAGGAAACAGTAATAATTGTAAAAGATTTCTTTACTAGGAAAGTGTGGCAAAGGAAAATGCTTCAATAAACTTAGATCTTGTTACACATTTATGCTATATTTAAGTTTACTAACGATTACTTATATCTACTACATTTTTATTCATGACACTGTGTATCTGTTGTCTTGACCCAATCATTCCTGAATCACACTTTCAAATTTTTAATAAAACATACATGTATACCGACTTAATTATATGAATTTATCATGAATCACACTTTCAAATTATTAATTAAACATACATGTTAATTTACCATGGTTTTACTTTAATAAAGGGAAAACTGGATTTCAGCTGCGGCCTGTATCAGGCTTACTGTCAGCCCGTGATTTCCTGGCCAGCCTTGCTTTCCGTGTGTTCCAATGTACACAATACGTCAGGCATCCTTCTAAGCCGGACCATTCACCGGAACCGTGAGTCTAAATTTAATATTCATATTTTAAAGTTAAACACCAGATGTGATTTAGATATTTAATAAAACCATTAGTTATACATTGATTAGTAGTGTTCATAAGTAACGTTTTGATTAAAATAAGAATTGAATTATACTGAGCAATACATTTAAATCTATATTTCAAGGTATTGAATTTTAGTTTGAGTAAAAGTGTTTAATTATGTTTTCTGCCAACACCTTATGTTGCCTGATCGACACTGAAACATGTTCCTTCCTTTCAGAGACTGTGTACACGAGCTTCTAGGCCATGTTCCCATGCTTGCCGATCCTGTTGTTGCCGAATTCACACAAAATATAGGTCTAGCGTCTCTCGGAGCTTCAGATGCTGACATAGAAAAATTTGCAACGGTAATGTTGTAGAAGTATATTCATTGAAAATAGCATACATGCATATAGATGCAGATATGATATATGTCACATGAAATAATTTCAGTACTTTTTATACATGATTACGTAATATGTACATTTTCATTACTAATAATGTAAATTCGAAATAAATAATACGTGAATATGACATAAAGCACTCTTTTACTTTGTTGACTAGACATTCTCGTTCATTTGCCTGCATTACATTATTATTTCAGATGTACTGGTTCACTGTAGAATTTGGACTGTGTAAACAGAAGGGCGACCTTAAAGCATACGGTGCAGGCATTTTGTCATCGTACGGTGAATTACAGCATGCGTTATCTGATGCTCCAGAGAAACGACCTTTTGACCCCGAGAAAACAGCTGTCCAATCTTATACCGATGAAGATCTTCAGCCTTTGTACTTTATTGCTGAATCCTTTGAAGATATGATGAAGAAAATGAGGTGAGGTTAGATTGAAATAGCTATGTAAATCACAATTAATACGTTCCGCTTAAAACACTCGTTTCTATAACAATGATGAAAATTTAAAAAAAAAAACAGTTTTGCTTTTTAGACTTCCTTATTTCTGTTTTCTTTTCTTCTGTAAATTAAATGAAGTTTTACAATTTTTCTTTCAGAGATTTTTCAATGAAGATCAAACGTCCGTGTGAAGTGCGATACGATCCATTCACTAGCTCTGTCGTGGTACTGAATGACAAGAAAGCCTTACAAAATTTCGCACAAACTCTCACTCGTGATGTGGAGCAGCTAGAACGTGCAATGGCAGCTTTATAAAACTTAAATATTGTTGAGAAATTAAAAACGTTATATAGTATAAACGACAATGCAACATAGTGTTTCACTATTGGGAGAAAAAGAACTGTATCATTGATTTGATATATTTGTAAAAGTGCTTCTAAAATGATTTGTAAAGAAAGGACGATGAGTATTTTCTAAGAGCAATACAATTACATGGCATCTCATACAAAACAAAATTTTATATACTATTATAGCTGATAATAAACGTATCACAAAAATGTTCTGTTTTAAAATTATGTTTATTAACTCAATTTCCGAAAGGAATCTTTAAAACAACTAGTGAAATTTATGCTTATGCATTGAAGTAAATTTATGTTATAAATGGAAAATAGGTTGCACTTTCTTACTACGAGAAAAATACTCCAAGAAAAAACGTGAGAAAATTTAAATAAATGAATGAAGTGGGGTTAGAAGTGAATATACATAAAATTGCTTAAAAGTTTTTTTCGGAATCTAAAATGTACTTGCATGTTGAGTTCCCTCTCCACCTCTCCACGGGTAGTATAAGACCTGATTTCCTTTTGATTGTTTGTCTGTTTTAGTCGTACCAAGAGTTTGTTTTACGTCGTACCAACAAAGTAAAGGTCACTTGGCGACTTTTCAGCTTTACTGGTCGGGAAAACCTCAGGTACCCCTCAGTGCATTATTTCAGGCACGAACGGGAACCTGAATAGAACCACCAACATTCCGTAATCTAGTTGGATAGCTTTCACACATGAACTGTCGTAATTCGAACCCACATCGGTGATGGGCAAGTAGCTTGAAGTCAACAACATTTACCACTCGGCAAGGACCTACATAATGTAGCCCGGCTGAATCTTATATCAGGTTAACGTACGTGTCACTGTAGTTAAAAGAATTTTCGCCCACGTACGTTGACGTTATAGAGTAATGTCAACTGGCGAATATGATGCCAATATGATAACGATAATGATAATCCAAAGCTTTTGTTAATACATTTACTATTTTTTAATACTATTTACTATTTTACAATTCCATTCCAACCTTTGTTTTTAGCATGAAACTGGGACATCAATTTTGATGACTTGAAATTGTCATATCTAAACTTCTATGATCATTATTGTAAGCATACATCTACAGATATTTCAAAAAAAAATATTTAAACTGTGTTATAAATTATAAATTATTCTTTAGTCGGTGCTAGAAAGTAAGAACTGTAGTAATTTACTTGTTTTTGTCTAGCACCCTAGCTACCTAATTAAATAAATTTTGTCTATTAATAAAAACTTACCTTTTTTTCCAGATATTGTAATAGATTTTTTTTTCATAAAGCCAATGCAGTGGCGGTGTGAGATGCTGCATTTTTATCAGACCGAGTCTAAAATATTCACTTATTTAACTTTGTTTTACTGCTCTTGAAAGATCTAACAATTTCAAGATCTTTGTTAACCGGAGGGAATCTACTACGAATTTCCTTTGTAAATTTTGTCTGCATTGTTCCCGAGAGATTTTCCTTTTCATTTATATCACTTTATAAACAGTCTCAACGCCCCAATTTAGAAATGAAATAGATGTTAAATACAACATTAAGTTCGGAAAACAGCACTTTTAATTTAAACATTGTATAATTTGTCTGGTTAAACCATGTTACTTCTTTCATACTTTGCAATAGATAAAACCGTACGTATAAAAATAAAAGTGCAAGCTCTAAATTCTTGACAATACTCTATGACAATTACATTTTAACGGTTACAAAATGCGTTTAAAGGACTATTTTGGCATACTTTTTTGCTTTTTTACATTTAGTGCATATTAGATACAAACATCAACCATATTAATATCATTTGAAATCGATAAAAAAGCCAAATATAGGTCAATCAATCAAAATGAAAAACCCGTACCATTTTCTTAGTTGTAAAGAAACTATCTGTACACGTAGCAATAATATTTCTTTCAATTCGATTAAAGATTATCCATGGTGAAAGTTCAGGCTTCAGAATTTGTGGCCATTTTAATGATAACTTATTGTCTAAAGATATAGTCAGTGTAGAGATTACAATTTGTTCTTATACAGTAGCTGTTACACGTTCAGCGTTCCTTTCAAACTTTGGTTAGAACATAAACCATTGTTTATCCAAATGCCTTTCTGTGATTTAAGTGTTGGATCAAATCAGATGTTTATTGCATATAAATGTGTCTCTTTTATTCTTTCATTGTGATATCTAAAACCTAAAAGCACTCCGAATGACGACTAAATTACATTAGCCAAAATAACAATGTTATTTTAAGTCAAAAGCTTCTTTCTAGCTTTACATATAATTCGGAAATCCTTATCTCAAAAAATTGTCCCAGACGAAACATTTCATGGCCAAAAGTAATAAAGGAGACATATGAACATATTGTAACTGTGTAACATTGATTGTAGACAAATTTCGCTGATAAATGATGTTAGTCGGTGTATAATAGAAGATGATGCTGTGAACAAAATGCTTGACCGATATCACCGTTGAAAGGGGTTAATTTTATTCAATGCCGCGGAAACAAAAAAAGCATGAGAAAAGAAACGAGTTTTACATTAAGAGAGCGTCAGATCTACTGAATATCAAGCTTATATAAACACATTTATTATGTGCAAAGTGCATGAGGTTTTCAGGTTTATTTTCTGGCGAGCAAAATGCTTCTTTTTTCAACTTCCATCTTTACTGTTGTATAAATTACAATTCATTTTGATATACACTGAACAGTGAGTTTATTAGACTAGACACTGATATATACATATAGATAAAAACTATATACAGGTACATACGTACATACAGCATCCTTTTATTATATGGATACAAATGAATTAGTGGTCCACTGTTAATTAAAATACAAATCGTATAATTAATTAGATTTATATAGAAATTACAACTGACAAAAACAAAACGGCATCATAAAAAAGACAAACTGACATAAAGTCTGAGTTCTTCCTTTACCACATACAAGTTTAAAGTTTCTAAGTTTAAAAGATTGAATTCAGAAAGAAAATGCGAGCAGTAAGCATTTAATAAAATACAGTTAAATGTCGGTATATATGAATACTTTGTTACGTCCATCATATCAACAGCACAAAGCCGTATGAAATTGGCAACATAATTTAATGTATAACTGTATTTGAAAAATAAAAATTTACTTATTTTAATCGTTTTTACTGAAAGCACCGCTAATGCTATAACAATTCTTTTGGTTTTAAGATGTTCTCAGTCTCTTACAATGACACAGTTTTTTTTTGTCAACGCATCATGTGATTAATCTGGTACTAAACGCTCGTGTCACCGGTAAAGATATGATTGTTGTTTTGTTAATTCCGCCTGGGATAATCTGTTAATCATCAGTCTTCAAATATCCACAATACAAGTTTTCTTTATGTGTATTGTTTTCTTACGGTAATACACCCCTTATGCACTATCTCCACTTTGAAGAGTATTCAAATAGACTAAAATCACGGTGAAGTGTATTGAAACTGAGGGGCGTGGGTTAAAACCCCTGAAGGGGCTACTTTTTTCTTTCTTTTTTTTCTTTTTAACATTTTTTTATTAATCTCTCAGATTCCTAATGGAAGACAAAAGTGTTTCATTTCAATTATATGATTTTTGTAGGTATTTGTTTACTAAATAATGCCAAATTTAATAGCAAATATGACACCAGATATTTTCAAAATTTTATAAAATAATAACTACACGGTAAAAGTATTTTATATTTTGCAAGACCAACCAATATACATTTAAGAAATGTTAGGCAAACTTTGAAAACAGTCCCTCATTGTGGAAAATTTTAGTGATATTTTAAATAAGGCTTTTTACACAGGGAAATGGTCAAATAAGTGTTAAAGGTGGGTGGGGTAGGTTACATTTTAAACATATTAAAAACATTTCGTTTAAAAACAATCTTTTTGCTTGTTTAATTTGTTAACTAAATGTCATTATTTGTTTCTTAACAATGAGCGATAGGAAAACATTTTTCATAATGATGATATTATAAATTATTTAGAGTTTCCTCATCTTTGAAAAAAGGCCATTCTAATGGCAAAGTTTTAGTTCAGAAAAATGTCCATAACTCATAAACCACACGGTAAATTTTGTTAAAATTTTGCATACAGGTGACATTTAAGGCATATAACTGTCCAATGTTGCCAATTTTACTGTTCCTTATAGTGCCCATTAGGGGTGTACTACCTTAAAACATGGCTGTAATATATTATAAAATAATAAGAAAATACAAAATCAAATTATTTTTTGGCAGTGTTTTCACTTATAGATGTGGAATTATGTCCTATTTTTAAAAAATGCAAGACTGTGTCGGGAATTACGCTACAACGAATTATATACCTAATATATATTATATAATGTAAACGGATATTAATTTGTTCTTGATGATCAAGGGGAGATTATTTAATAATTTATGAAATTTTAATCTATAATTTTATAATTATTTATAATAACTTGACCATTATTGGCATTTTTGAAAAGACAAATGAGCCGAACGTTTGTGTCTAATATATTAGCAAAAAATAACTAGAACTATAAACATTTCAAGTAAACGTTTACTGTCACAGTTTTGTTGACAATTAAGCAAGTACCATTAGTGATATCTAGTAAATTGCTTTACAATGATAATTGCCAAAGAAAAAAATAATGTCTGTTGACTTGAACAGCGCAAATAAGTGTGAAATTAATAAGAATGACACATCTCTGAAGACAAGTATATTTATGTATTTCCCTTTTTGTTCATTACTTTCTTGAACATTCGTGTAAAGAAAATCTAAATTAAACAGACTGCCGTGATATTCCTTATAGGTGTATATGTTACTCCGAGACATGGTTGTTATATTAAGATAATAACCTTTCCTGAACGATTTTTAATTGCTTACAGGGAAGACAGAGCTAATTTTGGTTGTGTAATAAAATACCGAATAGTACGGTCGCCGTATGAACTGTCTAATATCGCCCACAAATCTACAATAAAGTTAATGGGTCAATGTTTTTCTTTATATGTTTCCTCGTCATAGAATTTATAACAGAACAATTCACGGAAAATATTTATACAAAAATATAGCCGTTTTCTGTCAGTTTATTCCATAAACTGTTTGTGTCTTTGAAGGTTTTGGATATGTACATGTTTTCAGCATCTATAACGAAGTTTACTATCTTTGTTTAAATACAACAGATATGGAGCGACATCTGCAAAAGAATGCACTCAACCTTAATGAATA